ATATATAAAATATAGTTTGTATTTTTATAATTTTAGTTTTCATTTTAATTGTAATTTTTTTTTTACATATATATATATATATATATATATATATATATATATATATATACATACATTTCATAGGCTTCTCTATATCAAAAGAATAAACACAACTATAGTGCAATAGACTGAAAGTATCAGTAGTAAAACGAATGAAAGTTAAATGTATTTATTTTTGTTCATTTAAAAGATGAATACTAATAGCACACTTGATTACATTACTTTTTTTGTGAGAAATGGCATGGTGTCTATCTACATAAGATTTGGCTAAGATTTGATCACTTTGTCAGTTAGACTCATTGATTTTTTTCTGCTTTTGTGATTAGATTATTACTGATTAGCAATTAAATAACTGTGGTTTGTGCTTTTTCTTGTCTTCAATGAAGACAAACCCTGGTGAGCTGCCTACTTAGCATTTTAATGCACCATAAAAGTGATCCCTACATAAAACCTGCTACAAAATCTTACTTTTGGCCACATTTAAGTCAGCATTGCAAATTAAGCTCAGTAAAGCTTTTGTGTTTGAGTTTCATCATGAATCTGAGCAGTTCTGAGTGTAACAGTCCTTCTCATTTCTGAATGAAATCAGATCTACTAAAAAGGGCTCCTTTAGTTTAGCACTGAATACCTAACACATTCTCTGTCGAAACCACAGCACGTCAATTCGAACCTTTTAACCTGTTCACCCAAAAATGGAAATTCATTTTCAATCATTTACACACCTTCATGTCGTTCCATACCTGCATGGCTTTCTTTGTTGTGTGGAACACATAAAGGAAGAAGATATTTGAGGAATGTTGTTAACTGTTTCAGATAATAAAAATACTATGGAAGTCAATGGGATCCAAAATTGTTTCACTCAAAAAAATGAACAAGGAAGGTTGTGCACTTTACATAATATATTTATATTCAGTTTACTTATAATAATTGTCTTTGTTGACTTGAAATGTTTTTTTTTCTATAAAGGTCCACGTAATTATGTCGCAACTTAACTGTACAAAATCCTAACGCGTTGTCTAAACACAAACCATTTATGTTAAGTAAAAAATTCTTACATCCAGAGGGTGGCAGTATAGTGCGACGCCAACTGCCATGAAACCCCAAAGAAGAAGAAGAAGAAGAAGAGCAAGAGCAAGAGCAAGACGCGTCAGACTACACGTGCGCAACGATATTTGACTCTCTGCACACCTGCGTGACCCCCTGCAAAGTTTTTCTTCGATTGGTTTTGATAGAGGGACGTCTTACCTTTTCAACGGCTGGTAAAGGTAGGAGGATATTTGTTTTTCCACCAGTATCGATCATTTTTATTTGTAATAAGAGATATGTTCTTTATTTTTGGCTTGCTTTAGTTTTAGAGAGTTCTAGCGTCTTAGACATGCTGACGTTAGCATGCTAGTTTAGCCACGTGGCGCAGGTTGGTCCGCTGCATATTTCCATTATTTGGGCGAAAAGAAAAGTAATAAGAGATAGTTCATGGATTAAAGTTCTCCGTCGCTACGATGGATTTCCGTTAACTGGAGCGAGTCCACGACGGATTTTTTCCGTCAATTGCAGGGTTCCTGTCTGTCCTTAATGTCTTATATTCACTTTTCATAATTTTAAGGCTGTTAATAGGATTACATTTCTCAAATAGTGTAATAAATGTCTTAATTTTAATTAGAAAAGAGGAGGTGTATTCAGCCTGCTGAGGGGGATGTGAGCAAAGCCTGGAGTGGATTGAAAGCACTTCTTCTCTCTACTCTACGGGTTCTGTTAATCACTCCGCTCGGCATCCACTCCGGGTTTTCCATTCCCGCTCACGGAAAAACTGCTCCGTGTTCACTCCATTTTAAAAGTTATACTAGTATGTTTATTTTTTAGATCATGAACGCCTGAACGCAACATTTATAATGCTATATGTAATGTTTTGGAAATTATTCTACACGTTTAATAAATAGAATTACACAATGTCAAAATGTATACCTGAAGTGTGTAACTTCCCTTTCATTTTTCTGACTGTAGCGTTTAAGTTGTTGTAAGTTTTTGACTCTACTAAAGCATAAAAATACAATAATATGTTTGCAGATATATTTAAGAAACGTACTAAGTTAACATGCTTGTTAATTTGAAAAACAATGCTACAGTCATTCTCCGTTGAAACTGCAATACTAAGTGCATCCGACTAAAACTAAACTAAAATCTGCTGTCAAAATTAACTGGATAATACTTGGTTTGAAACTTTTGTTTTTTTCCAATTTGTTGTGATACTTTCAATAAAAATTACAAGACTCGAACCCGCAACCTTTGGGTTACGAGTCCGACTCTCTAACCATTAGGCCACAACTTCCCCACTAATCAAATTAGTGATATACAAGACAAGGGTACAGTGAAAGTCATCTCATTGTCAGATGCTTCAGATGCCAGTCAAGGCTGTTTGAACCAGAGTGGTGAAGACACATCTTAGTGTACTAACATTCTACAGAATATCTTTTGTGTTCCACAGAACATAGAAACTCGCCCAGGTTTGGAACGACATGAACTGTCCCTTTAATAACACCTATTCTCTCATGTTGAAATCCAACATCAACAAGTATGAACAACAGATGATTGTTGCTGCAGGAAATGACTGATATGTGATTTCACAGAATCTTTTCAATGCAATGACAGTCAGAAGGATGATTGCAAAATGCATTTATGAACCTTCTTTTCCTGTCAGCATGCTTTAGCCATTTCCTTTAAGTACTGAATAATTTTAATAAGACTCATCTCAGGATTAAAAGTACTAAAATATTAAACCCTCAGCCCGTGGTTTTGTCTGAGGTCTGCGAGAACTGGGTCACGTCATTAATGACTGTTGTGGCCACAGAAGCGTGTGTGAAAACTGTAGGTGACAGAGGTCAGAAGCTGCGGGTCACCAGCAGCACTCAGGAGCGGTTTGGGGTTATTTGAGTGGCACCTCGGTGAGTGAACGTCAAAGGCGACTGTTTACCGTCAGTGTTTTGGCTGGCGTTCATCTGAGCGGTCACTTCCCCACACCTGATAGCAGCACAATCACAGGAACCGCTCGGCCGGGACTGAGCAAAACCCCTCAAACTGGACCGTGTTTCCTGCTGCTGCTCACACTCTTAAAAAATGCTGGGTTAAATACAACCCAGCGCTGGGTAAAATAGGGACAAACCCAGCAATTGGGCTGTTTTGACCCAGCGGTTGCGTTAAATGTTTAACCCAACCTTCTGGGTAGTAACCCAACCGCTGGGTCAAAACAACCCAATTGCTGGGTTTGTCCCTATTTTACCCAGCACTGGGTTGTATTTAACCCAGCATTTTTTAGAGTGCACCGAAACGGGTTTAAAAACCTGTAGATCCCACAGACCACTAAATGTATATAATCATCCACATATGAGGGACCCACATCCTGAAAATTAAAAAAATCAGGGTAACACTTTAAGTATAGGGACCAATTGTGACTTATACACTCTTAAAAATAAAGGATCCAAAAGGGTGTTTTCACAGCGATGCCATAGAAGAACCAGTTTTGGTTCCCCAAAGAACCATTCAGTGAGCAGTTCCTAAAAGAACCATTTTTGAAGAACATTTTAATAATCTAAAGAACCTTTTTCCACTGTAAAGAACCTTTTGTGGAATGAAAAGGTTCCAGGGACGTTAAAGGTTCTTTGTGGAACCATTGATGCCAATAAAGAACCTTTATTTTTAAGAGTGTAGTTGCTTGTTAGCATGCCTATATTAACATATTGGCTGTTTATTAGTACTTATAAAGCATATATTGTGCATGACCATATTCTACATCCCTAATCCTACCCAATACCTAAACCTAACAACTACCTTACTAACTATTAATAAGCAGCAAATTAGGAGTTTATTGAAGAAAAAGTCATAGTTAATGGTTTGTTAATAGTGAGAATTGGGCCTTAAAATAAAGTGTGACCAAAATCAGATATATCTTTGTGTGTAAAGACCCAATTTATTCTGTGAAAAATTAATAATTATAAATGTGTAAAATATTATTTGGAAAATATTTAGCCTCTTTTCCATTACATGAATTTTCCCACTTATACTGTTTTGTTAGATGTATTATTTAAGTCTGTTTTTAATTATAACTTTTAATCTTTGATTGACTGATTGATTTTGTTTTTTATTATTTATTTTGTTTAATCTTATTTAGTTTAATTTAATTTTTATTATTTAATTTAGCTGTCTTACTCTTATTTTTATTTATTAAATGTCCTTATTTTATTTATATATATTTTTCTTTTTAATATTATGTTTCTACTAAATTTCTTTCATTCTACTCACTATAGTACTGTACTGTTAGATTTATTATTTATTTAAATTTGTATGTGCTTTATTCTTTTTTATTTATTTAGTTTTATGGTTCTATTTATTTGTTTGTATTATATTCTTTTTACTACACTTAAAAATAAAGGTTCCTTTTTGCAGCGATGCCATAGAAGAACCATTTTTGGTTCCACAAGAGAACCTTTCAGTGAACAGTTCCTAAAAGAACCATTGTGAAGAACATTTTAAAAATCTAAAGAAACTTTTTTGACTGTAAAATAACCTTTTCTGCATTTGAAAGGTTCCATGGATGTTCAAGGTTCTTAATAGAACCATCGATGCCAATAAAGAACCTTTATTTTTAAGAGTGTGAGTTTTTCTCTCAACTTTCCCAGGACCCCCAACACTTCACTGTGGCCCCCAGTTTGACAGCCTTAAAAATAAAACAGCCAAGAAGACTCAAGAACAGCTGTAATATTTGAACTGCATTATAATTGGACTTCATCAAATATCTGAGTTACATGGTTTATAAATAGAAGTCTTAGCGGTTTATACAGCAGTTACGTAACCTTTAATACTATTTTATTGCCTGCTAGCACTGTTTTTTCCTCTGAAGAAATACAAATCTGTATTAAAGTTGACTTGACGTGAACTTCAAATAACAGGCCTATATGCTGAGGAAACGCACATGTATCTAATTATTTTCAGTTCGCGTTAACTAAGGCGAATATAAATCCCGTTCGTTCACGGAGCTCCTCGGCAGTAGTTTATGTTCAGCTCCCAGCCTACTCTCCGCCCCCGCGAGCAGACGCAGATCTCTTGCTGTCTCTCTGTCTGCTGTAGTCCTCAGAGCAGCGCGTGTGTCGCCTCGCGTCAGGAGCGTCAGGATCAGGATCAGGATGGTGGCGAAGGATTACCCCCTTTACCTGCTGATCAAACGCGCGAGCGGCCGCGGGGACGAGTCGCAGGTGAGACCGACAGAGCTGGTGAACACAGCTGACGGAATAACACTAGTTATCATTCTCATTACTACTACTGACCAGAATAATGATGAATACGTACATTACTCGTGAGCAAGCATTTTTATTCAGTATTATTTCATTTTTAAATTTTTATACTAAAATGTAGCCAGTAGGCTAGTTTGCTGCTTTGCACTGTTGTGGCTTCTAAATGTGTGTAGGCTATTTGTTTACATGTAGAGCTTTATGTGAGTTATTTTGAATACTGCTGTGGTGTATTGTCACACATACATTGTTAAAAAACTGACTTGTGCCTGACTTGTGTAAACTCCTGAAATCAGTGTATTTATAGTCACATCTGCACATTGACTGGATGAAGGAGCTTGAATGTTTGAATAGTGACTTGTGTGACTTACTTTATTCCTTGAGAAGCAGAAGTCAGGTTTGGTCGGGTTTCATCACATGCTTCAGTGTGGTGAAGTTTAGCAGATGTTTGTGGTGTTTGGCTGCTTCTGATGTGGTTTGTGCATCTGGAGGTCAGCGCTGGGTTTTTCTGCATCATTTCTTCACAGACTGCTAATGTTTTTGCTGTGTTGTGTGTCCAGATGCATGGCTGCTGTGAGGCTGAGAAACTCCTAGGCTACTACTACTACTGATGTTTTTATCTTTCTGTCCTGTTGTTTGTAGTTTGGTTTTTTGAGTTAAACAGACTCTGATTTTAGTGTGAAGGCAGCTTTTTATTCAAAGTGTGTTTAAACCACTATAGTGGCCCGAAGAGCTGATATAATCTAGTTGACTGGACAAAAAAAAGTCATAGTGTATGAAGTGCTATGCTTTTTAGGCACATACTATGATGATGATAAATAATAATAAATTTTGTTGCCATGCTGACTTCACATGCAAAAGCATATACAGCACAATGCACTGTCCTTTTTGTTAACAGATCACTCAGTTTGTGTATGCTTTTTTAGTGCTGTCAAATGATTAATCGCGATTAATCACATCCAAAATACTTGTTTACATAATATCTGTGTGTGTACTGTGTATATTTATTATGTATATATAATTTCACACACATGCATGTATATATTTAAGAAAAATATGTTATATTTGTATATTACATTTCAATTATATAAATATAGACATGTAGATATTTTCAAAATATATCCATGCATGTGTGTGTATACATAATAAATATACACAGTACACACACATATATTATGCAAACAAAAACGTTTATTTTGGATGCGATTAATCGCGATTAATAGTTTGACAGCCCTACTTTTATTATTGAATGATTGGTGAATCAGACTGAATTGGAGTCTTTGCTCTGAATCATTCACTGAATCACTGCAGATGACTCGTTTGCTCACTGAACCGCTGGTTATCACAACCTGAATCACATCTGAAGCTGAGAACTGTTACTGCTTTATGTGCACTTCCAGAAAGCCAGACTGAAGATGCACTTAGTAAAACTTACTGACTGGTTAACTGCTTCTCTTAGCACAGTTCAGTTAATGCTGCTTTATATTTACATTTACATTTACTTTTACATTTAGTCATTTAGCAGACGCTTTTATCCAATACAAGACAATATGACAATAAGACAATAAAAGCAGTCAAAACTAACAAAAGAGCAACAATGTATAAGTGCAAATGACAAGACTCGATTAGCCTAACGCAGTAATATATATATATATATGTATATACTGTATATATATATATATATAATATATATTATACACACACATATATACACACGCACAAAGAAAAACAAGTAGATAGAATAGAAAAAATAGAAAGCTAGTGTTTTTTTTTTTTAAATAAAGAAGATAAATATAGATAAAGTATAATTAAAAAAGTGCATGTAGCATTATATGACCCCTTTAAATAAATGAGTCTTCTCATGTTCTTATTAATCCCGATGTCTTTTTCTAAACATCTCAAAGGATTCGGTTGTAGTTTGAAGCAGTTTTATGCACCAGCGAAATTCCTCAACGAAGCATGATACATATCCATTGATCCCGTACAAATCAGGCCACATGTCTGGGAGGCACATTCAGACCTACATAATCAAATATCGAGCAATCCTATTATAGTGCAGGGATGAACATTTGGCCAGTAGCCATATCTACAATTATGCATCTGGTCAAATAAGGCAGAATCATATTAGCAAACCTCAGAGAGTCAGAGGAGTTCGTCCACATCTGCAACTCACAGCTTCTGCAGTTTGGTTGTGTACTGAATACATTCAGGCTGCTTTTTTCACATATTAGTTTATAAAACCTAGCATGAGACCTACAAGTGTCTATATGGGTTTAGTTAATTATAGTTTAGGGACAGAAATGTCTGTTGATAGATCTGGCAGAAACTTTCTTTGGCCACATCTGACAGCAAAATCATACATATATTTTATGTTTTTTTAAATTTTTATTTTGCACATGAAACACCTTTCATTCTCAAGGTTCTCATTTATTTATTTATCATTTCATTTAATTTTTTTGGCTATGAGTGTGTGTGTGTGTGTGTGTGTGTGTGTGTGTGTGTGTTCGTGTGTGCATGTGTGTGTTCGTGTGTGCATGTGTGTGTTAGTGTGTGTGCAAGTGGGTGTGTGTGTGTGTGTGTGTGCACTCCAGACTCCAGCATGACTGTCCTACACAGATATGAGAAGGCTCCCTGCTGATTGTGCAGATGAACAGACAGTGAACAGACACTGAAGAAAGCTTTGATATGATAACGGTGTGCTTGTCTTCATGTTTTGCATGCGCAGCCTCATTTCAGTCCTGAATCTTGATAATTGTCTGGTCTTGTTAGTGTTGTAAGAGCTGAGATTGTAAGAAATGGACACCGGACTAAAACTACACATTTTGAGACCTTTTTATTCACACAGTTATACATTTCCAAATTTATGCACGACAAGAATCACATAGAAAATATTTGTTATAGGGGTCGTTTCATTTTGAGTGGTCCAAATATTGTTAATCAGGTTGCTTGACAAATGTAATTGTTTTACAACCTTGTTTTACAAGCGATTGATTACCCTCTATGTAATGGTATTCCAAAACCACCAGTTTGCGTCACGGCCCACAACAAATTTTGGTTATCGATATTTATGGAATATGTCAGCTCAGCAGGGTCATAGCTAGTGCAAAGTACAAGGTACATGAACATTGAAGGACTAGATAGGAAACTGAAATTGTTCTATGACAAAATCATTTTACAATGCATGCAACATCCATTGGACCACTCGAGAAGGATCGTAAATCAAGAGTTTCCATAGCTAGAGGCAACTATTGAATCAGAGACATCTATGACTGTAAGACAAAGACTTCCAGAAAGATTTTAATCACAGTCTTAGTTGCGTATGCATCACATTATGCCGCAGGGAGATTTTCTCTGAAGCCTCAAGCGAGCTGCAGGTGTTTGTGTTCACCTGGTGTGTGTGTTTGTGATCTTCAGGAGCCCAGCAGCAAGCGTGTGAAGCCTCTGTCTCGAGTGACGTCTCTGGCGAGTCTCATCCCTCCAGTCAAAGCTGCTCCGCTCAAACGCATCGGACAGACGCTGCAGGTACAGCCCGACCGCAGGATCTGCTCCAGTAACCCGTGTTAAATACAGCTTTGATACTGTTGAGATTTGAGCTTGTCAAAGTTTGCCGTACTAGTTTTAGTTTTTAGGCACAGCTTAGTGTTCATCAGAGAGCTTAGCCTGTCATATGAAGTCAGTGATTGTTTTCTTAAATGGAGGAGTTGATTGAACAGTTTTTCTCCTCAGCGCTCCATTAGCTTCCGCAGCGACTGCAGGCCGGAGATCATGGCTCCGCGGCCGTGGGCCAAGCAGATCGCACCAGCCATCACCAAACGCCGCGACAGCAAGCTGTGGAGCGAGACTTTCGACCTGGGCCTGGGACATATGCTGTCCTCCACAGAGATCAAGAGACAAGAGGTGACTTCACCACCGTCCAAACACACTCTGACTGCTCAGTGGGCCTTCAGAAATTAAATGGAAAATGAAAACTTGTGGTCAGGCCAGTCTCATATTCAGCTGAAATCTAAAATCTGTGTTTATCTTTGGTGCATAATTTATCCTGTGCACCACAAATATCATATAGTCGTACGGGGATAGATAGACTTTTGACTTGGACAAACTACCACAGAGTAATGCATCCATAAACTATAAACTTATAGATGGGTAAATGCTATTTACGGTATGTCTGCGAGATGCATCCTATGTGATTTTTAAAGCTACTCTTTCTTTCCTGTCATCTGTTCGTCAGGCCATCTTTGAGCTGTCTCAGGGAGAACAGGACCTGATTGAGGACTTGAAGCTGGCCAAGAAGGTACACTCTGTTCTTCCCAGCAGGAAAACCTTCGAGTCCTGGTTTTAGCCCGGCTCGTAAATCCACCAGAATGAATACATTTGATAATTATAATACTTCTATTTTACGTTTACATTACATTACATTTAGTCATTTAGCAGACGCTTTTATCCAAAGCGACTTACAGATGAGGACAATAGAAGCAATCAAAATCAACAAAAGAGCAATGATATGCAAGCGCTATAACAAGTCTCAGTTAGCTTAACACAGTACACGTAGCAAGGGTTTTTTAATTATATAATAAAAAGAAAACAGATAGAATAGAAAAAGAATAGAGCAAGCTAGTGTTAGAGGCCTTTTTTTGCTTTTTGTTAATTGTATAATAAATAAAAAGAAAACAAATAGATAGAATACAAAAAGTTATTTGTAAATGAAGTTAGTAAATGAGTAGAGTGCAAGTCTAAAAGGGGCAATTTTTTTTTTTCATAAAGAATAGAATTAGAATAGAGAGTGCTAGAGTTAGAAGGTCAAATAAAGATGGAAGAGATGTTTTATGCGAGCAGCTACTGGTAGCCAGTGCAAATTGATAAACAGAGGTGTGACGTGCATGTTTTTCGGCTCATTACAAATGAATCTTGAAAAATTAATTGCAAAAAAAATTATTTGCTGTCACATTAAACTTTATATGTTTGTTTTGGGGGAAAACCTTTAAGTCGGTGTTTACTGTGAACTGAACCACTTTGAAACGGACAACATGTCAGTCGTATTGCACTTTAAATTTTATTTCAACTATTATCCTAAATACTTATTTATTTATTTTACGTTTCTTTATTTAAATAATAATTAGCATAGTCAGCAAGTTCCAGCATATGATTTCATGTGCTGTCTGTTTCTACATTCTGTTCTAATTCCTATCATGTTTTCCAGTCAGATTTCTAAACGGTTCCGTATAGTTCTGCTTGAGTAGGTTGGAGTGTCTGATGTGTGATCTCATCTCAGGCGTATCGTGACCCCATGCTGAAGCTGTCCATTATGACCGAGCATGAACTCAATCAGATCTTTGGCACGCTGGATTCCCTCATTCCACTGCATGAAGGTGAGCGTGAAGTCAGTGTCTTCTCATCTGTGTGACACATGTCCCACTACAAGTATCTGTTAATCCAATGGGACACGACTAGTGGTCGACCGATATATCGGCCGATATTTGGCATTTTTCAAATATTGGCATTGGCCGATAAGTTTTTTTGTTTGGCCGATGTGTTCGAGGCGGGACTTTTATTTTGACGGCGCTGAAAACGGCAGCGCCTGAGCGCACGCAGTGCTCACATTCTCCCTCTTGTTCGCTGTCGTCGTTCAGTTCTGTCTAATACGGATAGAAGTCTATCTAATAATCAGATAGAACTGTTAAACAAAGGAATTAAAATGTATTCAAAAAAGTATTATAACGATTGCTTTAATATTATTAGTAATAGAAAGGCAAACATTATAATACTTTCTCATTTGCCGTCAGCATTCAGCAAATACGCATTTATATCATTTAAATCTTTTAATGACTAATGAACATTTAATTTCACAAACCTTGCAGACTTAGTCGAATCTAGTTGAGATCTTGTGAAGTGTGCATTTATATCCTGCATGATCACATGTGCTCTGCGTGACGGTCGGTCCGTGTGAATTGAATGCTGACAGAAGGAGAGTTCTGCTTCACTGGAGATGCACGATCGACAAACTTTAAACTAGTGATTTCAAATGATGCTGCGCTTTATGCATTTGCCCACTGTCATATTCGTGTCATTTTCACTGTGTGTTGTATGTAAAATGAGTGTTACCTTGGCTTTATTTGAAAAAATTTAAAATGCATTGGCTTCTAAAGTACAAGTATGTTTATTTTACACAATTATTTTAATCCATTTCAAATGATTTCAAATTTCTTAAATATAACTGAAAATAAATAAAATTATGTCGGCTTTATATCGGCCATCGGCCACCCTGCTTTCCAAGATATCGGCATCGGCATCGGCTGTCAAAAAACCCATATCGGTCGACCACTAGACACGACAGCATCAGATCAGAACACAAAGAAATGTAAATTGTACTGTAAGCCAGTCATGATACCGCTCGACTGCTTAAGCAAATGAAGATGGAATATTGGTTTTTAGTTTAAGTATGACAAGTTGATTTTATTATGAGATGAGAGCACAGAAGATCACAATAAACACATGCCAGAGCAACTAAATCAGATCAGTACCCTGTTGTTTCTTCACCACGAGGCATAAAGTTGCTTTCCAAAACCTTCACCCTCTCTGTTCCTCTCTGGTGAAATAAGCCAGACTGCTGAAACCATCACAACTTTAACCAGTGCTAGGGGTGTTCGATATAGCCTGTATATCGTCCGCGATAATATCGTAATTGTTGTTTCAACGATGTGCGATTTGACATTATCGAGTATTTTGCAAAAACCATTCAAAACACATCTACAGAGCGCACGCATGCATCACGTGAAGTCTAGACTAGAGTGCGTTCTTTCACTGCATGATTCAGTCAAAATGCATTCAGAATGATCACAAATTCAAGACATGGGGGCAGAAAATGTATATATTTATACCACTTCATATACAGGTGCATCTCAATAAATTAGAATGTCGTGGAAAAGTTCATTTATTTCAGTAATTCAGCTCAAAAACTTTTCCACGACATTCTAATTTATTGAGATGCACCTGTAGTTAATCAATTTCACACGAAGAGTGCTGTTATTTCTCCAAAAAATACCATGATTACAAATGTGATATTGATTCAATATTCAATAAACAAGAAGTTAATTAAGAGACTTGCGTTTTAGACACCATATTTCCTGTTTTTCCTCTATTTCGCCAACAAAAGTAATTTCAAACACAGCACAGCACTGTATGACGGTGTTTCGTTCCTGAATGAATCAACCGTTTAAATGATTCGGTTCAGTCGCAGTGAGTGACTCACTTATTAACAGTGACTTGCTGCCACCTACTGGTGGTTTTAATTTCACATTTAAAGTATCTTTTTATTATTCATATAATTTCAAATATCAGTGTTCAACGTTTTAATGTTAATGCATTAAACAGTGTGTAAACACATCTAAATGCCACTTCAGACATAGCTTCTGTGTTTCCTCTGCATTGCAAAAATGAATTTTGTTGATACTGATTTCATTTGCTTAACAGCCCAAATGTCTTATTATTCTAATTCACTGATTAAATGTAAGAATTTGACTCAAAAGATAATGCACACTTTTAGGAAAAAATTTCTTTATAAAGGTAAAAATGCCCATAAAAGGTAAAAATCTATTTAAACTTATTGAAAAAGATTAATTTCTATCAGTCTAAACTGACCAGCACATAGAATATTAAGAATATCAAAAACTTTAGGAGTCAGTTTAAAATACCAGTACAATAACACACTCAGCAAAATATTGTCTAATTATCGTTATCGATAAAGTCTTAGATCTTATTATTTGTCAATATCGCACACCCCTACACTACATAACCCTAAACCAATGCAATTGCATCTCATCTGTTCTAGCTTGTCTCCTAATCTAGCTGTCTAATAAATGTGGCATTATACACTGCAGATATTATTGGCTCTGTGAATAATTGCTCATGCTCCTTTATTGTGTGTCATTTTGTATTAGTGCATCCGCTAAATGCATAAATGTAGACCAGTTCACATGAATTACCTCATATAGAGACTGTCTCCTTTCTCTGAATTACTAAAAACAGTATTTTGATTGAAATATGAAAACATTTATTATAGACCAATGCTTTGTCGGCATCATAGGTTGCATCACACATTGAAGTGGTGACAAAAGACAGCTGTTTCTCTGTGATCCTGTAGATTTGCTGAGTCGACTCCGAGAGGCCAGAAAGCCGGACGGTTCGACTGATCACGTGGGCCATATTCTAGTAGACTGGGTAAGATCCTCTCACTGCCGTGCTATATATTCATCTGTGTGAAGTTCCCTCCATCTGATGAACAGAGATGACACGATTTCAGATGCTGATATTTGTGCCTCCTAGAAATGAGGAGCATGTTTTGTGTGCAAGTCTTGTAGTGTCTGGTAGCAAGTCCTCAGTTGCTCAGTGTTTGATGCCCAGTTTTTCTCTGGAACCATGTATGGAAGGTGTATGATGCTTAGTGTTTAAAAATCTGTTCAGATTTGAGAAGTTGTGTTTGGGGGTGTCTCACCTGCCAATGCATTTGGATGAAATCTCCTTTTTGGATCATTGGCTGTCTGAAATCGCATAGTGCAATATTTGAGGCGAAAACCATTTGTAGCGAAACTGTCACAGTCTTCAGCGGGTGTGCCCAGGAGGGCCACCAGATGACTGTGTTCTGTGAGCACATGGCTTGTGTTGTGTTTGTCTGTTGCCATGTGCTCTCTCCTGTCTATTGTCAGTCCTCGCTTCATCTCCCCGCACGCACCGTGACAGAACGGATCAGCCAACATGGGGACTCAGCGGAGAATGGGCTCACACCGCCTACCGGTCTCTACTCTCTCCAGCCCCCTCTACCAGCGCATGCTCCAGCTGGAGACCCTGAGCTCCCTCCGTCAACGAGGGACCGAGCTGAGGGAGTTTGCCGTGGAGTTCAGGAATGCGGCAGAGGGGCTGGGCTATAATGACTCTGCGCTGAAGGACTTATTAAATTATGCCCTTGATGAGCCCATTAGCCCCTGGAGCATGCTAGGATGCAAGCATGTATCCTTTGAGAGGTTTGTGGAGTTCGTGGCACGTTCTTCAGCTAAGGGGCTACAGCGCCTCCTGTGATGGCCGACAAGGCTGAAGCGCCCCCGAAGGTGGCCGACGAAGCTGCCGCGCCCCCAGTAGTGGCCGAAGAGGTTGCAGCGCCCCCAGAGGTGGCCGACGAGGGTGAAGCGCCCCCAGAAGCGGCCGATGAAGCTGCAGCGCTCCCGGTGGTGGCCGAAGAGGTTGCAGCGCCCCCGGAGGCGGCAGATGAAGCTGCAGTGCCACACTCTCGGAAACGGAGGAGGGGGAAGAGGAAGAATGGGTCCGCCTCGCCACCCCTAGAGGTGGCCGAAGAGGCTGCAGCGCCCCCGAAGGATGTGGTGCAGCTTTAGGCCTGCCTGTCTGTTTTTCCCCCTCGGGGTGGTTTGAGTTTGTTTTGGTTTAATTTATATTTATTAAAATAAATAACCATTTCTCCTGCAATTGAGTCCTCGCTTCATCTCCCCGCATGCACCGTGACAGAAACCATACTGGATATGCCATAATGCACTACTATAATGAGTGTACAACTCAACAGCTACAGGATACTTACTCTGTGTCCACACCGACAGACTACACTGAACGCATTAAACCGAAAATTACAAATACATTGGTCCTGACAAGCAGAGCTGGGTAGTAACTGATTACATGTAATCTGGATTATTACGTAATCAAATTCAAAAAATGTATGGTGTGATACAATGCACTTATTGTGTACATACATGTTTTTACATTGTAATTATATTTTAACAATACCTGTATGTAATTAAATCTGTAATTAATTTGTTATTACATTTATAATTACACTGTTGACCCATCCCTTATAAGTACATTGTACTTATTTTTTGATGTAAGTACATAGTAGTTAAGGCCACCTAATAAAAAATGTGACCGACTTTCCTTCCTCTTAGAAAGACGAATTAAGATAAAAGATATCTTTGTAATATCACTGTAGAACATTAGCCAGACAAGTCAGCAGTCCTCCAAGAGCAGGACTGGACACTGATTGCGTCTCTTTCTGGTTGTAGCTCCCTTGTCTTGAAACCTACAACAGTTACTGCAGTAACCAGGTGGCAGCCAAAGCACTGCTGGACCATAAGAAGCAGGACCATCGGGTGCACGACTTCCTCCAGCGCTGTCTGGAGTCGCCCTTCAGCCGCAAACTGGACCTCTGGAGCTTCCTGGACATCCCACGCAGTCGCCTGGTCAAATACCCGCTGCTGCTGCGAGAGATGGTCAAACACACGCCGAACGACCACCCTGACCGCCAGCACCTCCATCATGCTGTGAGCCACAAGACAATATCTCACCCTGGACCACAAAACCCAAAATGGTCCATTTTTTGTGAGGATAGGACAATATTTGGCCGAGATACAACTATTTTAAAATCTGGAAGCTGAGGGTGCAAAAAAAATCAAAATATTGAGAAAATCACCTTTAAAGTTGTCCAAATGAAGTTCTTAGCAATGCATATTACTAATCAAAAATTAAGTTTTGATATATTTACGGTAGGAAATGTACAAAATATATTCATGGAACATGATCTTTATTTAATATCCTAATGATTTTTGGCATAAAAGAGAAATTTATCATTTTGACCCATACAATGTATTGTTGGCTATTGCTAAAAATGTACCTGTGCTACTTATGACTGCTTTTGTGCTCCAGGGTCAAATATCATCTTATACTACTACTGTACAAGTTATTTGCCAAATGCATCCTGGAGCCCAATGAAGTCCTCATTGTGTATGTGGTCTTGTTTCTGTACTGCTCTTTAGATGAACATGATCCAGAGCATCGTGGCGGATATTAACACTCAGACGGGCGAGTCGGAGTGCCGTTACTATAAAGAGCGCTTGCTGTATGTGGAAAGCGGTCAGAGAGATCTGCTGATCGACAGCTCGCGGATCCTCAGCTGCCACGGAGAGCTCAAGAACAACAGAGGAGCCGTAAGAACTATAATAAATTATGCATAATTACATGCAAGTAACCCTAAGGCAAAACCTAATCCTAACCCTAACCATATAGTAAGTACATGTAGCTAATTAGTATTACTCAGTACTCAAATGTACAATTACACTGTAACAAGGATATCTTAAAATAAAGTGTAACCAATTTAAGTAATAATATTAGTTACCATCCAAAAAAAATGGCTAGTTACTAGTTACTTTTTGTCACAATTGCTAAGGATTTGAAATTCAAAAATTAAATCATTGCTATCAGTTTTCATAATCGTCATCACCAACGCAGTAAGCTAGCTTTGTCGGCAGATGGAGAAGCCCAAAGTGGCTGGAAATACCCTCCAATTAAACTGGTATTAAGTCGAAGATTAATCTCTCAGCTAAAGTCTCATTTGTCATAAACTGACAAAATTAAATGGCTTTTTTGATGGCAAACCTAAATAAGAAGATGTGTGGAGTGGTACATTTCTATAATTTAAGCCTCCATGCTTTTTTTAATGCAAATGCTTCATATTTCATTAAATAAAACTTGAAGTTTTAATTCATTTTTGACCGGTATAACTAAATTAAAAAACTGCAGACTGGACAAATATGTGTTACACTATTACTATTTGATATTTTTCAGAATCCATCAATAACCAAACACAAGTCTAAACTTTTGGATGTTTTTCATCTGGATATTTTTAAAAGCAACAATTGAATTATTAATCTGTTCAGTTAAACAAATTATCAAAATTTGCCAGTTTTATCACCAGATTCTAGAAAATTCTTTGAAGGGCTTCACAAAAAGCAAAGTTTTGAACTGACTGGGGGACAGTAGCAACACTGTCGTAAATAACTCAGGAATTAAGCAGAAAAATGTAAATGTAAAATAATAGGAACAAATATTTACATTTGCAGTGAAACGAATATTTTCTCTCATGCTTTCTATTTTTATTTAAAAATAAAATAGGTTTATGCAGTACATGGGCTTGTTAGGGTGGCTTCTCTGCCTAGAGAAGTCATTTCACTGCTACAGTGACAAGCTATGCAGCTTAAAAAAGTTAATGAACAAATGTGCCTCAAGCACTATTAAAGGGTTAGTTCACCCAAAAATGAAAATTAGCCCACAAATTACTCACCCTCAAGGCATCCTAGGTGTATATGACTTTCTTCTTTCAGACGAATCCAGTCGGAGTTATATTAAAAATTGTCTTTGATCTTTCAAGCTGTTTCATGGCACTCAGCAGATGTTGCGTGCATCAGTCCAAAAGAAGTTAAATAAAGCGCATCCATCCATAATAAAAAGTGCCTCACATGG